GTGCAGTTTCTTTTTACATGCATCTTGTTACACTGATATCCTAAATAGCATTTAAATCCTTGAGAGAAGTAAAAGAAAACAAAACAAAACAAAACATGTTATCAGATAGTTTAGAGAAGAGGGGAGAAAGAGGAAAAAAAGCAAAACAAAATACACATAACCTTTAATAAATATCATTTTGGTAATCAAATGGAATTTAAAACTTTATATGAATTGTTGCCTTTGTTTTAAATATTAGAACAACTTTCCAGTCCAATTGGATGGAAGTGTTCTGGTCTGGGATCTACAAACAGATTCAATTTTTAGAGGCAGTATTTCCAGTGATTTTTATCATATCTTTATGATATTCATATGTATTTAAACTGTGACAATTTAAAACAGACCAAACAAACACCAAACATATAACAAGACAACACAAACAGACAAGATGGCGGAGGAGAACAGGATGGGGTTTAACACAGACAAGTGTAAGGTGATGCACCTGGGGAGGAACAATAGGCACCACACATACAGGCTGGGGAACTCCCCTCTTGTCAGCACAGAGGTGGAAAAGGATCTGGGAGTCATTATTGACTCCAAGATGAACATGAGTCAGCAATGTGGGGAGGCGGCTAGGAAGGCCAACTGCACCTTGTCGTGCATCCACAGATGCATCTCGAGCAGGTCCAAGGAGGTGATCCTCCCCCTCTATGCGGCACTGGTCAGGCCGCAGCTGGAGTACTGCGTCCAGTTCTGGGCGCCGCACTTTAAGAGGGATGTGGACAGCATGGAGAGGGTCCAGAGGAGGGCCACTCGTATGATCAAGGGACAGCAGGGTAGGTCCTATGAGGAAAGGTTGCGGGACCTGAACCTGTTCAGCCTTCAAAAGAGAAGGCTGAGGGGGGATCTTGTGGCCTGTTATAAACTGGTTAGGGGGGATCAGCAGGCGCTGGGGGAGTCCCTGTTCCCCCGAGCGCCGCAAGGAGTGACCAGGAACAATGGTCACAAGCTGGCGGAGGGAAGGTTTAAGTTGGACATCAGGAGGCGCTACTTCACGGTCAGGGCGGCTAGGGTCTGGAACCAGCTTGCAAGTGAGGTGGTGCAGGCTCCCACCCTGGGGGTTTTTAAGAGGAGGTTGGATGACCACCTTACTGGGGTCATTTGACCCCAGTGCTCTTCCTGCCATGGCAGGGGGTCGGACTAGATGATCTGCTCAGGTCCCTTCTGACCCTAGAAACTATGAAACTATAAGACAATTTTTTGTAATTTTTGCCATGGCTTAGATGAGGAAGATGCTGCTGGTGGTAATGAGGCCTCCTGATCTATCAGTCACCTTTGATTACACTGTGGTTTCTGCAAAAGAAAACAAACATGCACAAACCTGCCAAGGAAAAATCCTTGCAGTGGCTAATTATTCATATTTACAAATGTACAATGCTGACGTGCAGTGGAAGTGCATACATCATTGCCATTCTTGGGGTGCTTTTCTTCTATACTGAAAAAGTGGAGCAGTTACCTACAGGAGGGTGGCCCTCATAAGTTGAGGATTTCTATGGCCTTTTCCTGCCTCAGCATTGGGGTGGGCACCAATCAGCCCATCCAGTGCGTATTTTCCAATGGCTTGGAGCCGTTCCTTCCTGCTAGCCAGGAAGGGTGGCCGGCAGGATAGAGAAGACTGTTTACCCTATTCCTTGAGGGTCAGGTGATTTATTGAACAAGGGGGCTCCCAAAATTAATTGCTCAGTGGAGCCCTCCTGTTCCTGTAAATGTGAGATTGAGGGATGCCAATACCCTTGTTACAATTAAGCCAAGTTGTCATTTTAAAGATGAGTTTTTCCTTTAGAGGGACAATTTCTCCCTCAGAACGTTTGCTTAGAAAGCCTTTTCCGTGTTCTTTTTGCTGGGCATTGTGAAATCCTTAGGATACTTGAGGTAACACGATACTGTTGTTCCTTGAATATACATTTAAAATTATACCAGCACTTTTATACCAGGGAGATAGGAAACAAAACAAAAATAAAACCTGCATTAGCCAAATTTAATACTGAAAACCATTTTAGCCCTCCTGATAGAGCTGCTATGATTGCAGGGTACTTTGCCTTTCAGAACAGACCAAATTTCAGATCAGGGAGTCTCACACACTAAGCATTTGTACCATCATTTTCTGACTTATAAACTACTTACTATGAGCTATAATCTTACTTCAGTTTCCAGTGATTATTTACACTGCATTGATGGGGGAGGGTTTGGTCCTTCAATTAAGATGCATGCCTGTATTTTGCCACATTTTAACTTTTTTTTCTGTCCAAACTTTAGGAAATGCCTTCATTCCATTTTCTGGGTTAACCCTATCATTCACTCAATCACAGCAAAACCTTAACAGCTGCTAACACCTTTCTTTCTAGGGTACTTATATTATACCAACACTATTTCTAGATACATCTCATCCCCATTACCAATAAGAGTATACTTTTATGCTTCTAGCAGTCTCTGCCTTGCAACACAGGCGCAAAGCAAACACAACACTTTTGCACAAACACCTCAACAATCTCTGCAATCTCTTGGCTTTACAATGTGTTACAAACATTCGCAGTTTCTAGCACAGAACTTAGCCTTCTCTACTACTGACTTCTTATCGGACCAGCGATATAAGTTGTTGTACTTAACCCAAACAGACCACAGCATGACCTCAGGGACCTCTGAGATCAGGACACAACTTTTCCTTAAAGCAACTTCATCTTTTCCCTGCTCTAGAGCAGTCATCCCTAAAATTGCATTCTTACTCTTTGCTCCTACCTGCTCTAGCATTCAAACTCTGTTAATCTCTTATTCTCTCCTCTCTTTCTAAACACTTTCCACATCTCTCTCTTTAACAGCTGCCTCACAGCCTGTTTTCCCACTTCCCTCTATCTTTTTCCTTTCCCTCTATCTATCACAGCTCCTTGCTTTCTGAATCTCTCTATGTAAGGAAACAAACCTTGAATGAGTGATCCATGCATCTTCCTAGTGAAATTTTCTTTAACTCCCTCACTTAGGGCTGTAACAATACAGGCACCAGCTGTGGGGGGCAGTTTCAATCATAATGGCTTTCAACCTGTCCAGACCCAGCACCTTTCAAGAACTGGATCTCCCTTGTGTCCCAAATCTGGCACAAAAGAGGGAAGTCAGAAAACCAGGTTGCTACCCTTTCTACTCAGGTCTAAATACTGGACTATACTAGCTCTTCACAGAAAACAAAAAACAGTGTCTTACACCAAACACTAACTTACAGCCAGCAATAAACTCAAAACTCAAAATCTCAGAAACATCAAAGCTCAAGACACAAAATCTCAAAAGCCTCAAGACAAAACAATCTTACAACCATTTCTGCTGGAGAGGACCTGCCTCCTCCTTTTTCACCCACTTAGCCCTATGATCACTTATGCCTGGTGTGGGGGCCTTCTGCCTGAACATACTGGTTCCTGGACTTCTGTGCCCTACAACAACAACCACAACAATAACAACAAAAGTTGGATCACTAATTTGTATACATGCATATATATATGTCATCATGTGCATGATATACAATTTAGTGATCTGTGTATGTGTACGGAGTGTGTGGGTATTGACAACTGATTGTTGTCTAATTTTTGGTGTGTAGTGTGTATGTGCTTGAACTGGTAATAGGTATGCATATGTCTAGGCTGGTTTGGATGTGTATGTGCCTGAGTTGGTAGTGTGTGTGTGTGTGTGTGTGTATGCACCTAATTGACTTGTGTGTTTGTATATGTGCAATTTTCACACCCTCCCATCTAACAGTGCAATATTGAGATCCTGAGATTTGGTCTGACCCCACAGGGCAACATAGCAAGGCATCGTGTCTGATGCAAGGTATCCCACTCTTGGTCACCTGGATTTGTCAGCATAGGTCACCCACAAGGGGAGTTAGAATTGGGGAAACACCACATGAAGTCTTGTTGATTTTTCAGCATTGGATCACGTGTCATATTTGCCTAGTCTGTGTAAAGCCATTGGCTTTTTGTGCAGCTCTGTGTCTTCATTGATGTCTCATGAGGTGCTGCATATATCCATAGCATGGTATAATAAATATCAACCAGTGCTAAGTGCTATAAATCGGTGACAGACTGCACAGACTGCTGATGTCCAGCTGAAGAGATCTGAGGAAGTTACTGGAGGCCTCAGCACCAGGAGGACTGTCTTTTAGTTTTAGCTCTCCTGCTGCCTCACTGAGTGGCCCTGGACAGATCACTTTGGCACACAATGTGTCAGCTTTAGGATGCCCAGACTGACAAACCTTGGGGTTGGGTAAAATTAGTGGGAGCTACTAGTATCTGACACTGGGCAACTTGAAGCCAAGGCAGCCAAAGTGTGACCCTAACTAATGTGGCTTAGTTTGCCCTAGGACACTCACAGAATGGTTAAGGCATCTCATCCAGCTCTGGGCTTGTGGTGAAGTCCATAGTGACCCAGGTCTGCAAGGCTCCTGGTCATCTAGGCTGGGGAGTCTAAAGTGTCTGAATGTGATGCTGGTCATGTTGCTGCTTGTGTGCTGCTGGCTATAGAAACCAGTTTGCCTTAATCACATGAACCCAGTGGGCTGTTAGGTTTGGATGGACCTTCCAGAAGGGATAAAAATGATTGTTCAAGTACCTGGGAACTGGTGGGGTGTACAAGCTAGGGTTGGTGATGTCCTGTCCGGACACAGCTCCCTTGTGCAGTGCAATGACTTCTGCAGTTGCCTTGGTGTCTTGCAGTTCCGTCGGTTCCAGGAGGTGACCCTGATGCGTCTCCAGGGCATTGCAGGGAACTACAACATTTCCTACAACATTGACACCCGGTTCCAGCACTTGGCAAAGCAGTACAGCGGGATGGTGTCTGCCCTCAATGAGTCCCACACTGCTCTGCAGGGAGACCTGGACCACTTGAAAATCTGGATGAAGAAGCTGCAAAAGAAAACCAGAAAACTGGATTTGAAGATCTCATCCCTGGAAGAATCTGTGAACAAACAAAGCCAGCAGAGGACTGGGGAGAAGCAGCAGCAAGTTGCCCACCTGACCAACCTCACACTGCAGGTCACAGGCCACAAGGAGGCCATCAGCTCTCTGCATGCCAGCAGCAGCAGTCTGCAGAAAGAGCTGGTGAACCTCCAGGAAGCCAGTCAGAGCCAGGCGACCAAACTGGGTGCTTTGGAGCATCTGCTGCAAAGCACAGCACACAAGGAGGCACTTTCCCCTCAGCACCTGCCTGCCACTCAGCTCCTGAACCAGACTCCCCAGGGCAAGCAGCTGGAGGCAGAAGGAAGCCCGACACAGAGCCTGAAGAAGTTACACACCAAGCACAGACAGAGAAAGAAGCTGCAAGAGGAGAGGCAGCAGCTTCTGGCCCAGTCTGCAGGCACAGGGCTGCAAAGCAGCCTACTCCATGAACATGCAACCCCTCTGCGGCCAAGTGAACCAGAGCCACTGACCAGAAGAGAACCACAGGCTGCCAGGCAGCAGCTCTCCAGTGTAGTCAAGGTCTCACAAGAGCAGAAGCAGCCATCAGCCCCCAAGAAGCCAGGGACAAGTATGTAGTGGTGTTTTTATTTTGTCCCCTGGGGATACCCACGTCAGAGGTGATCACAGGGAGGAGTGACCCCACTATTAAGATTACCTAATGCTCTCTTCCTCCTTGTATCTTTTCTTTGATATGAGAAGCTCAAGCCTCTATCTTCAGCAGGTCTCTGATATGCAGAAGGGAAGAACCCCTCAACCCACAGAGTGGTTTTCCTTGTTTGTAAAATCTTATCCACTGTAGCCATAGGGCCGACTACGTGAGGTACCAACGGCCCTGGCCCCCCTTTAACCATGCCTAATTGGGTGGAACAGTCCCAAAATGGGAACATCAAGTCTCAGTCCTGGGTTGCATGACTCTGGGACAGCATTTGTCCTGGATTCCCAGCATTGTGCAGGGATCCAGATTTTCTGTTCACTTGGCTCTGCTCCAGCTGTGCCATGGGGGGAGGGGCATATCTTAGCCCCCCCCCCCCCCC